ATTCATGCACCAGGCCTCTAGTTCAATCATAAGACAACTATTGAACAACCATTTTTTTCTACTTAAAAAAACGTATTTTCTTACCTTCTCTATTCCCTTAGCTCCCTCTGAGATCATTACCATGAGGAAAATTCTATAAAAAAATATAAAATGCAATTGGTAAAATGATTTTTAGATACAGCAATGAGAAGCAGCATCATGGGAGAAGTAACACTTGAAATACTATTAAAACTACAACACTAATAACCACTACCACTTGGCAGAAGACCTGCTATATAACAGGTATTGAGCTTTCTCTTGATCTCACCAATCCTAACATCAATACTTTGAGGTATTTGTTATTTTTCTCATCTTACAGATATGGAAACTGAAGCTCAGAGGAGTTAACTCATTTGCTCTGGGTCATACAGCATACAAGTGTCAGAGCTGGGATTCACCACTGATGTCCACAGTGGGTAGATTTTCCATAGGTAGAAATAGAGAAAAGGAGATAGAAGCTCTGATTAGCACCCCCCAAAATGAAATATTTAGGTGTAAATCTAACAAAATATGTGCAAAATTTATACACAAAACACAAAATGCAATGGGTAAAATGATTTTTAGATACAGCAATGAGAAAAACTACAAAACTCTGATGAAAGATTTCAAATGCATCAAACACTGACAGAAGGTATTTACATCAAATAAATGGAGCGATAGTCCATGTTCATGAATAGGAAGACTCAATATGGTCAAGATGTCAGTTCTTCCCAACTTCATCTATAGAGCTGATTTAACTCCAGTCAAAATCACAGCAAGTATTTATGGATATTGACAAACTGCTTCTAAAGTTTATATGAGGAGGCAAAAAATCTAGAATAGCCAACATAATATTGACCAAGAATAACAAAGTCAGAGAACTGATAGTACCAAATGTCAAGACTTACACTAAAGCTACAGTAATCAAGACAATATGGTACTGGCAAAAGGACAGATAACTAGATCAATAGAACAGAATAGAGAGTCCAGTAACAGACCCATATAAATGCAGTCAACTCATCTTTGACAAAGGAACAAGTAGTCTTTTTGACAAATGGTGCTTGAACAACTGGACAAAAAAAATGCATCTAGACACAGACCTTATACCCTTCATAGGACTAGAGGGGAGGGGACAGGAGAGGCCTGAGGAAAAGGAAATTGGATAACTGTTTAAAACACATTGCAATTAATATGCAAATAGCCCTTGCATAATGAGATTAATATAAGATGAGCATAAGGAAAGCTGGGCCACTTGAAGGCAGGTGCTCACATCCCAGCGCCAACTTAGAAGAGGAAGGTGTGGTCTCCAGTCTCCATTCAGCCCCAAAGGACCCTCATAGCTGACCCCAAGTTACTGGCATACTCCCTGGGCGTCAATAAAAACATTCAAAATAGAGCCATCTAAGGTCACTGAGTTCTCACCTGGGCCAAAAGGCAGAAGCAATGAATCCACTAGGAAATGTTTGCAACTGGGGAGCCCTGTGCCTAATTCCTGTAATCTTGTCCAGAAGAGGGCAGGCCTCAATGCTGGGCTTGTGGGCTTTCTCCTGGGGGCTAGGAGGATGGACAATGACTGGATGGGCAGGTTCCAGGGTGGGAACCAGGAAAATAACGTGCTTGTATTCTGCAAAGCAATTTCCTGAGGCAGTTATGAACTTCAGGTCTGGGTGGAGGACAAATGCCAGTGTGAGATTCGGAGTGGGAAATAACAGAGCAGGACACCCCTAAGGCCCTCTCCCAGGAACCAGAGCAGATGGGGGTACCATGAGGAAGGAGGGAGTAGAGAAAAGGGAGGCCAGTTTCAGACCTGATGGGAACAGAATTTCAGAGCTTTCTGGATGAGGGGCAGTGTGAGGACAGGCTCACCAGTGGGTCACTATGTTCAGAATGGTTGTTTGAAGTGATGGCTGGTTCCCTTTTCGGGGGGAGCTGAGGGTACCCGGGCTTAAGTGAAAGACACTTATTGAGCGAGAGCTCTCATAGTCAGGGTGTCCTCTCCATCATTTCCCATTCCTGGGCCTCAGTTTCCTCATTTCTAAATGCGACATTTGGATTCAATGACTGGCCAATCTGTCTTCCAACTATAAGTTTTGTCTGATAAGACACAGGAAGCTCTTGTCTTCAGTAACTTAGCGTTGAAATAAGGAGGCTCAGACAGAGCACCCCAGTGTGGGAATGTATTGCTTAGACAGCAAATGTAGAGAGAAGGAGCTGAGCTGGGGAAGCTGGCTGATGCTTGGGGAAGCTCAGAGCTATGGGCTGGGGGCCGGGCTGAGCAGAACTGAAGCCTCTGATCAGACCCAGGTCAGACACTGGCTGTGGTGGTGACTCCAGACCCACAGCCGCCCAGGTCTCTCCCCATTCTCATAGTGGCACCTGGGACCCAGGTCAGGAGCTGCAGCCTCAGAAACCCCGCTCCTTTTCAGCTCAGCGGCTCCCCTGCCTCTTTGGGCCACTGAGATGCTAACCTGAGGGCCCTGAGAGCTGCTCAGCCAGCATCTTGAACTCATTTTCCAGCACGAGGGGGCCTGGTTTTATGTCACAGTCCAAGGCACGTGTTTACTCAGCTTCTCTGCTCCCCAGCCCAAGGAAAGATAACTGAACTTGATGGATAACCACTAATTGGATCATTACCTTCATTTCGAAATGATTGCCCCTAGCCCCTGGGGGCATTAGTTCCGAGCTGGGGCCCCCAGTCCAGCCCAACACAGGCTGCGGAGCAGAGGACAGCTCCATCAGCTCAGGCCCGGCAGTACTGCGACCCCACGAGGGCTCACAGCTGTGCTCCTGCCAAACTGTGCCTTCCAAACAGCCCCTCCCCAATCCCTCCCGGACACCATGTGCCCAGCCAGTCCTGGTGTACCTTGCTCCCGCTGACACCCCCCCTAGAGTGCCCTCTCGTCCTTGTTCCCAGTGGGGCCGGGAACACCAGCTCCCACACCCCTCCTCTCTGCCTGTCTGAGGCCCCCCTCCCTGGGTGCACCACCTTCCCACTGCACACAGTTTACTTCCCCAGATGGAGAGCAGGGTCCTCCAGGCAGGCTCACCTCCCTTCTCTCAGGCACTTCTGTGTTGCCGGCACTGGGCTGGGCACACTGCAGTGGCTTGTGGATTGATTGATGTTATGGGGCAGGAGGAACAGGCAGGAAGGGAGAGCGATTGATTCCAGCTGAGGCAGGAGGGAGGCGGGGCAGACGAAGCGTAATGGATGCCAGGATGGTGGGGGCAGGAGGGTCAGTAGCTAGAAGGAGCCCCCACCCCCTGCCCTGGTGGCTCAGACCTGCAAGCCTGGGTTAAAAAAAGTCGTTTACAGAAGAAATCCCTCTGAGAGGGATTAAATAAATGACCATAACTCCTGGGATGAAATATGACAGCCATTAAAAATGCTTTGAAGAATATTTCATGATGTAGGGAAACGTTCCGACCCAATGAATGAAGAAACCAAGTCACAAAAAATAATGTACAATATGATTCCATTAAAAAAATGTTAAAACACACATAGAGGGTAATGGTAGCAGACATGGGCGGGGCCCTCACGGCATGCCCTGCATGGTGCTACGGGCTTCCTATCGTCATTTCCTGCAGTCTTCCTATCAGCCCTAGGAGCTAGGTTCTGGCTCATTTCACGTACCCTCATTTCACATAAATGTGGAAACCAAGGCACAGACATGAAGGACCTGCTCCCATCTCGAAGTCTTTAGAGTTCTGAGTTCCGTATGGTGCCTGGAGCGCCCTCCCACAGGGGAACTGGGGCAAAACCGTGTAAAGCCATGTTCTGTGGAGATGTGTTGGAGGTGTGTCATGTGGAAAAGGGTGGGCTGTGCGTGGTGTGTCCCAGGCTGGGGACGGGGAGGCCCGCTGTGGCTGACGAGGAGGAGGAAGGGCTTCCTAGTTGCTGCTGGGCAGGGAGGAAGCCTGCATCTCTGGGAGTAACCAAGAATGAGCTGGAGAGGGGTTTCACATCAGGGAGACCTCCGAGGACTTCTTTTTTATTTTTTAAAATTTATCTTTATTGTTGAACGTATTACAAATGTACCATTTTTTTCTCCATTGACCGCCCCCCCCCTCTACTCCGCACCCATCTGCCCTGAGGATTTCTAATTTTCGCAGTCTATGAGCTAACTGGGGAGAAAAACCCAGGGCTTTCCCTGGCCTGGTGCTGAGCAGAGAATCCAGGGGCTCAGGAGCTGCTTTGCACCCCTATTATGGGCTGATTTTTTGGGTCCTCCCAATACGTATGTTGAAAACCTACCCCCTCATGTGATGGTATTAGGAGATGGGGGGGTCTTTGGGGTATGATTTGAATTAGATGAGGGCAGGAGGGTGGGGACCTCATGAATGGGATTAGTGTCCTTATAAGAGTCAGGAGAACCAGGTTCGTGTGCCTCAGTGGTTGAGCAACAGCCTATGAATCAGGAGGTCATGGTTTGATTCCCTGTCAGTGCACTTGCCTGGATTCGCTCGGTCCCCAGTAGGGGGCGTGCATGAGGCAGCTAATCAATGATTCTCTCTCATCATTGATTTTTCTATCTCTCTCTCCCTCTCCCTTCCTCTCTGAAATCAACTATATATAGTGAGAAATAAATTTCTGTGCCATGAAGATGAAAAAGGTTGAAAATCACTGCCCCAATCCCATGGCTGGGGTCCTTCTAAGAAGAGAAAATGTAGACAGAGTCAGAGACATTGGGAGAACGCCATGTGAATTTGGAGGCAGCGATTGGAGTGATGCCTCCACAAACCAAAGAACGCTACAAATCCCGGGGGGAGGGACACAGAGCTGCTTCTCACTCAGAACACCCCGAAGGAAGCAACCCCCCGCCGCCCCGTCCCCCCTCCCACCCCCAAACTAATACCTGGACTTTGGACTTCTAACATCTTGGACTGCAAGAAAATAAATTTCATCTATTTAATCGCCATTTGTTATAGCCACCCCAGGAAAAGAGTACAGTTTCTTACATGTCAATTCAAGCCGAGTACCCCTTTTTCCTCGCCTAAAACCAGCAGACTTCTTCAGAACTCGTTCTCAGAATCCTTCTCTCTGGGGTCAGCCCAGATCTGGTTAGGAGGCTTATTGTATGAGTCCATCTGGCAGCTGCCTCAGGAGGCGATGGAGGCCAATGGGTGAGTGAACAGCTCATTCCTGAGGCCCCCAGAGAAGGCTCCGTGGAGGAGAGGCCTGAGAGAGAGAGCAGAAACTGGAGATGTAGGGTAAGTAGTGTCTTTGAGAGGGAACAGAGAGCAGTGCACATAAAAGCACTGGCATGATAAGGCGTGGTGTTTATTACATTGTAGGTGGTCAGTTCCTGGTAGCAAAGAAAGTGAAAGGATGCAAGCTGTCCTGGAAGCAGCTGAACCCAGGCAAGAACCACTGTACATTTGCTAGATACAAGTTTTAGGCAAGAGCATTGTTAACTACATTGACTTGAGGTAATTGTCAAAGGCAGCGGGGGAAACCAAGCCTTTGGCCTCAAAAGTCATGGCTTCTGGCTGTGACTCTGCCGCTTCCTAGTTTTTGTGAAGTTGGGAAAAATCATTTCTCTTTCTGAACCTCACTTTCCTAACTGTGAAATGGAGATGATAAATGTGCCTTAGCTTACACAGTTACACAGACGGAATGGCAACAAATTTACAAGTGCTTTATAAACTGCAAAGCACAAATATGAACGTAAAGTATTATCCATCTTATGACTGACTGGCCAATCTCTTTACTGTCCTGTGAATGCCCCATACCCATTTGTGCCTCTTAGTTTTCGCTCATGGCCTCTTTGCCCACTTGCAAGTCCCTCTGTGTTGGTTAGGATTAGAGTTGGACACACGTAACAGAAGAGTCAAGGCAACAGAGAGATGTTTCTCTCTCATGTAATAGTCTGCCGGCTTCCCAGGGCTGGTGCGGGTGACTTAGGATCATTGCATTTTGTTGCTCTGCTGTGTTTGGTTGCCATTTCCAAGGTCACTTTATGGCCCAAAGTAGCTGCTGGAGCTCCAGCAGGCATCCACATTTCAGCACGGAGGGGTCAAAGAGAGGGCAGGCTTCCTGTCTTTAAAGACACTCTCTAAAATTTGCATATGCCCCCTTTTTATATATTCTATTGGCCACAACTTAATCCCATGGGCACATCTATCTTCCAGAGGAACTGAAAAATGTGTTTTAATTCTGGGTGGTCATGCGCCCAGATGAAACTGAGGGTTTTATTATCATTGAAGAACAGAGGGGAATATTTAGGAAGAACTAGCATCTCTACCATTCCACTCATTTCTCCTCCATGGACTCATATTTCGTTCTTCGAGATCAAGTCAAGCTTATCTGCAAAATAAGGGGTTTGGATCATTAGGAAGACACCTAGCTAGTCCATAGGCAGGCAGCAAGCTAAAGGCTTTGACGTGAATCATCTCATTGACCCTGCAGTGCAGCTGTGGGGGAGGTGCTATCATTGCTTCTTATAGATGAGGATGAGGATTGTGGCTCAGAGATCTATGCATGTCATAGTGTAGGTTTCCTGGGACACAAACTCTGAGATGGAGAGCAGCAGTTAGTGGGCAGGACATGGATCAGAGAGCGCTCTGGGGGCTAACGCCCGTGCAAGAGAGGGAGGGGATGGAAGCAGGACTGGGCAGAAGGGAACGTTGGGCTGTGATGCGGTTTCAATAAAGCTCTCAGCTGGCTCCCAGGGACGCTGGAGCTAGGATAGGCCTGCAGAGCTGTCCCAAGCCAGCGCTGGGGGGACAGGCCTTTAGACCCTAATGCTGGCCACTCACTGAACGTTGGCTGTCCCAGGAAGAGGGCTTGACATTGGGCAAATCGCTCTTTAGCTAAGCAACCCCGGAGGAGGCTGAGAGCTGAGGGCTCCCTGTTGGCAGCACCCCCAGCGGCTGCGCCTGTAAGTCCTTCCTTCTTGAAGCAGGACCCTGGAGGGATCAGGGTTCCCCACGTCAAGCCTCTTGCCTAAGCTCGCAGGAAGCAGCAAGTGACAGAGACGGGACTAGCACCAGGACATGTGACTCCAGCAGCTGGGCTTTCGCGGTTAAACGGTTTGCTCCAAGTCACAGCTACCAGGAAGTGCCCACCACGCCAGCAGCCTCCTCTACGTGCCGAAGCACTTTGCTCTATTGCCTCTTTAGGGTCTCTGTGGTACCTTCTTCTGGAAACTGTGCCTCCGTGTTTCCTATGTACCGTGCTCTCTTCTCTCTGAACAAACGCCGGCCGTTAACAGTGACAGATCAAGCCAGTCAGAGCAGTGCTTTGCTGACCGGGTCTCCTGGGGGCTCAGCCCTCTGCCGGTGCAATCAGATTCCGAAGCCAGGATCCTGCCCAGCAGACGTGCAGCCTGCTCAGACAGCCAAGGCCGCCACCCACGGAGGCGCTGGCGACGATGGCAGGAGAGAGTGGCCGTGAGTGCTGCCCGTGAGCCCTGTCTGTCTGCTTTCAGAGGCAGGAGAGGCCACCTGCTGGGTAGGAAGCCCTGTGCTCACACCTCCTCTGCTCTCCTGCCCATCACATCCTCCATGAGGCTAGAGCCAGACTGTCTCCCCTTAGAACCTGTCGGGTGCTCAGTACGCAGGAAATGGTTTCAGAACTTCAGGCCTGGAGGGAGGCAGTCCCATTTCTCATCTCAGAAGTGAGGAAACAGAGGCACAGGAGGCAGCATGACCTGCCCAAGGTGACGGCCAGGTGGCAGAAGCATGGCCGGGCTGAGAAACGGTTTCCGACCCCTAGCCCAGTCTACCGCCCAAGCTGCCCTGCTAAAGGAGGGCAGAGGCACCGATGCAGGCTTCAGGCTGGTCCCTGCCTGCTGGCATTCTCAGCAAAGCACTCAGGACCGTCACTGTCACAAGGAAGAGGAGACAGAACATCCGATCGGGAAGAGCAGGCCCCTGGAGACACCCCACAGAGCTCTAGAGCTGATTGCCACCAGGCCCAGCGGCCTCCTTGCTGGTCCCAGGCGGCTGCTCCCAGAAAGGGGGTGGGGAGCAGAGACTACAAACGTTCTTTCTCTCTCTGGCTTAGCACCTGGGGCTGCAGACAATGCCCCGTCGCTGGGAAGATTTAGGGGTGATTCTGTAGGAAGCCAGGGTGTAACAAGTTTCAGATCAATGGCTCACTACGCAGAAAGCTTCTGCCCACCACCAGAGAGGCTCCCTCGCACGCTAACCCGCATCTTCCCCCCGAAACATCTTAGCCCCATGAAGCAATAAAACAGTCTGGCCTAAGTTACCGGACCTCTTTGAAGTCCTGGAGAGGCCCATAAATAAGGCAGGTCCCCGGGATGGGGGGCGTTCATTTCGAGGGATCCTCGTACAACTCTTTCAGAGTCTCATTGATTTGTAGCCACCTCTAAGTCAATTTCCTGGGGCTCATAAATCTTGATGGGAGCAAAACTAAAATGTCATCGATATTTATTTGATGCATTTCTTACCACTACATAGGAGAGGAAGAAGGAAAAAAATGTCGGCATTCTCACCCGCCACCCCGGAGCAGGCATGGGACGCGGCCGATCCCCACGCCTCGAAGACCGCTCCGTCGTGAACCATAAACCCCGGGTAACAAATGTTCCATTTCATGGTCAGCAAGAGTGGTAACTGTCACTGGAGAAATAAAATTGAGTTATTGTTTCCAGTTTCAAAAGAACAGCAACAAGTATAAAAAAAAAAAAAAAAAAAGAAACACAACTGTATGCGATCCCTGTCCTCTTCCCCTCAGACACCTGCAGCCATCTAATGTTTCACCGAATCCTGCCACATAAATGCATAGCTTCACTCACTAATCCATATGGCTCCAGAGACCACTGTTACATGAGAACTTAAACTGACGGGGCCAGGCAGCCCAGGGCAGCTTAATCTTTTTTAATTCAAATCGACTGAGTCCCATGTGGCCTGGAGATGATACCCTATATGCTGCAATCAGACTGACCTAGACTGCTCGTGCTCTAAATGATTAATGAAACTGCCTCGAGTTTGTTTCTATGGTGATTGGAAACCCGACCCGGACAGAGGAATCTGCCATTCACGGTGAACAGAACGGAAAGGGGGGCACTGGGGACCCAGCCGCTGGTGGTGGAGGGAAGATGCCCCAAGGCTTCGAGTTCCTCTCCCTGGCCTGACTCAGTGCAGGGAGGGGACAGGGGAGAAATGGCCCTCTTAGGGAGTTTTAATGCAACCAAACTGCAGAATTGTTTTTCCCCCTCAAAGAATCTAAAACGTGTAAGTATTCCTAAAGCCACTGACTGAACAGTTGAGGGAAGATAGCATTTAACTCATGTTTGGTTTCTTAAAGTAAGTACATGAATAAATAAAAGAAAACCGTGAAATCCTGGGTCCCTTCTTTAGAATGAATGGTTTTGCCCTATGAGGAACATTACCAAACCAGCTCAGACCTCACGTTACCTGTTTACTCTTAGGTCCTGTGCATCTTTGTTTCTGGTCCTCATAGGGAATGGGTCATATTTGGGCTTCGCCCGGCAGAACTGGCTGTCAGAACTGGCAGCGGCAGGCAGGGTGGGAGTCCGGGGAATTAGGTGCTGCTGGTAGAGAAGCATTGGGTATGAATGGTTAGTGCCAAAGGTCACTGGCTGCCGTCCTCCTGGCGGAACAGTCAGGTCCTATTTGAGGATGGAGTCCATCCTAGCTTTCCTATTGGAGCCCCCACACCCTGCTCAGGTGCCCCAGTGTTACAAAATCCTGAACCTTTAAGAGGTCTAACGCAGGGAACACCGAAGAACATATCTTGTGACTTAAACATCTAAAGCTTAACCAGTGTGGCTGTTGACTGAGGGAGAATGACTATCTATGAAGGTTGGTGGGGGCATTGCTTCCCTCCTGCCCACCTGCCTTTCTTCACATGGCCACTGGCCACCTCCTTAAACACACTGTCCCCTGCCTCTGAGCCTTTGATGGTCCATGTTCCCAAACTTGACTAAGACACGCAGGACCCCCCAAGGTTTCTTCCCACCTCCCCATTCTAGCTCTATCTCCCATTCATCTCCGTCAACTGTTCTCTGTATGTCCTTCATGAATGTCCCATTCTCTGCCTTTGCTTTGCTGTTCCCTCTGTCTGGCATGCCCTTCCCAACTCCATGTGCTGGAACAATCCTCTCTGTTCCCCAAGGCCCAGCTCACATGCCACCCCAGCACCTAGACATCCCAGCTCCTCAGCCATAGGCCTTCCTTCCCCGTGTTGTGCCTTTTGTAATAGTGTGTCCCAGGCTCTGCTGTGTGTGATGGGACATCTGCCCCCAGTTACAGAGCTTGGCACATAGTGTGTGCTCAATCCATGTTTGGTCAATTGATCTTCTTCCACCCCTACACCTTGGTCCCTGGCTCCACTGACTGCTAGTGGGACGTTCATCTGGCCATTATATCTGCTGTCCCCTGATAGTCACTGCTAGCTGTCCCTGCATGAGCAAAGGCTTCCTGACCTCGTGGTTCAGCAAACACTCAGGGTTCCTGGAAAGCAACCAGTCACTGCTCTGACCCAGCGGGAGCTCATCTGGCCCATTTCTCCAGCTTGAAACCTTCCCTGTGTTAGGCCTGAGCTGGGACCACCAGGCAGAGTGCTGCTTGGGGGGTCTGAGCCTGGCCTCTCACCGTCGCCCCTTTATGGAGACTCGGCCATGCCGGGTGCACCTGTCAGGCAGCATCCTCCTCTGCTGTTGGCAGGGGAAGGAGAACCTGAGGAAGAAGGGGCCTCAGCCAGCCTCTCGCCCATCCAGTCAGACGTATTCACCAATTACCACTGGTAAGCAATCCCTGGCCTTATCTGACTCTCCCACGGAGGGGGTATCATGTGTGCCTGTTTCATTCCCTGGGGACACAGGTGTGGGGCCCTGGCGGGAGGCCGTGGCAGCCAGATGCTTAGGGACAGATATTTGGGTGAGCAGGGACAGGGTGACTGCTCCTGGCAAGTGATAAGCCTGAATGAGTGGTGTTGCCAGCATCGTCTCCATTCACCAAATTGCCCACCCAATTTCTCACCTGGAGTCCCCAGGCCACTGCCCAGAGCTCAGGGAGTCCTCGCTCACCGGCCCAGGCTCTGTCTCCTCATTTGTGAAGTGGACAAGGTCGCTATCCTTGAGTCGGTAGCACTCTGTAAGGTAAAGCATATCCCTCCCCTGTTCCCCTCATCCCCCCTTGCACCCAACCAAAACGCTCCTTGTCATGCTGTCCATTTTAAAAATCACATTTAATTTTGAGGGGTTCAGAAGAAGTGCCATTGCCTCCATTCAGAGGGCCTTCCCTGGGTGATGTGAGGGCTCTGCACTGCCGGGGCCAGGCCAGGCGGGGGTGGCGGGGTGGGAGGCTGGAGGTGGGGTGCGGCTGGGCCACCAGAAGTTGGGGGCCCAGTCAGCTGCTGGGGTGAGGAATGTGAGATGTGCAAGAGATGTGGCGAGAGGGAAGTGAAATCATGAATATTTAGAAGCGGGGGAGAGTGGAATTCAATCTGACACTGATACACACACAGGAGGTTGGATTGATAGCAATAATCTAAAATTAGAAGCAGTCTGTCAGGGGCGTTTAGAGCTCAGGCCCTAGAGGCGGCCTGGGTTAAACACTCCGAATCTGCCACTCACCCGCTGCGTGGCCTTGGGCAGGGAACTCCACCTCTCTGTGCCCTCGGCTTCTTCATCTGTAACACAGAGGTAATGAAGTACTTCCTTTATGGTGTGGCGGTGAGGACTGAGTTCACCAGGCAGCGCGGGCACACAGTGTGAGCTGGCTGCGTTTATAACTGAATGAAGGTCAGCATCACGTCCTTCCTAGAGGCGGTCGGGTTCCTTCCTTCTCCGGCGCTCCTTTCCCTGCTTCCCAAATCCTCGGCCACCCTCCGTCTCCTTTTAGTTTGCTTTGGAGGGAAGGAGGGTGTGGTCCACCACGGTCCCACAGAAATCTAATGCAGAATGCATGAAATTTAAGACCTTCTAGAAGCCCCTCTCTAAAAGTAAAAATTAATGTTACTAACCTACATCACTTAACCCAATGCATGCAAAATATTATCCTTTCAACATGTAATGAATAAAAAAATTGTGGAAGATATATATGTGTATATATTACTTCCTAATTACATGGATGTATGTATTACATCCATGTATATATTTTACATCCTAATCTTTGAAATCTAGTGCATATTTTATACCTACAGAATATCTTGATTCAGGCACTAGATTGTCATCTGAAATACTTGGTTGTATTTAGATTTCATTAAACTGACAGTTGAAAAGTAGCTCCACATACCTCAGTTGTTCCAAACAACTTGATTCAGCTTTCCAAGAACTGAAACCAGTATCAATTTTTAAATTAAAATACAGTAAGTATTCAGTTCTTCAGATGCACTGTCATCTTCACTTGCCAGCGAAGATCTAGAAGTAGCTGTGGGAGGAATGAAGCTTGAACAAATGCTACCTGGCTGTAGGCATGTCAGACACAAGGAACAGAGACACTGATGACACCCTGAGCTTGTCCCTAGTGGTGGTAGGGAGGGGTGGGGTGGGGTGAGGAATAGGTGCACTGAGAATTTTCTTTACTCCTTTGAGAACCAATGCATACAAGCACCCACCATCCTCCAGGTGCCAGAGATGCAGCGTTAGTGCTCTGGACTGAATTGTGGTTAAAATCTATCTGCCACCTTCCAGTCTCTAACTTCCGGGGAGTGGTGGACTCTGAAATGTGACATCCCTGCCTTGATATTAGTCTGGTGCAGGAATCTGACTGCAGCGCCATTGTGTTAACATGGCAGGTGAGCGCCTGCTGTGGGCCAGGCACCATGATTTCAAGTGGGGTGCAGCTTGATGGGTGACCAGCACGTTTGGGTGGGTTGGAACCTCTAGCTCCCTATTGCTTCTGGCTGTGGTGGAAGCCTGTGGCTTCCCCGTGCCCACTGCGCTGTGGCATTCCCCTGGCCCCATTCAACCGGACCTCCCCATCGCCCCTCCTGTCATATCCACCTGGTCACCATCCTCAGCATAAGCGTTGGGGTGTATTTTGGCTCCAGATCTTTGCTAATGACCTTCCCATTTATAATCCTCATCGCTTATTCAGATCCTACCTGCTGTCAAGGTTCTCCTCCAATCAGCCTTCCGGCCTGCGCGATCTCCTTTTCCTTGTATTCATAGCTCTTACTGTGTTGGTGGTGAGCTTGGAGCTACAAGGAGGGCAGGCAGCATTATTTAACGACTCACATTCATGCTGTGTCTCACAGTGTCCCTGAGAGCTGGACTGCCTGTCATTCATTCTTCTATGAGTCCTACATTCACTCCCTTCCCACCCTCCTCTCCCCGCCCCTCTCAGCACCTGGACACACAGGAGGTTTTCAGGAAATACCTGCTGATGAACTGGTAGCCTCACCAGGAGGTCAGCCCATGTCATAAGGCTTAGGAGCCCATTTCCCAGGCAATAACGTACCCACCAAGGATTTGCTGCTTCCACCATTATGTTCATACAACACAGGCTACTGCCGAATCATTTGTGGGAAAATGAACTGCCCTGAAGCCAGCCTTCACTGAGTTCTCTGACAGAGAGCTTTCTCTTTCTACTGATGTGATTGAAGACAACAAAATACTTTGCTCCCTCAATTAAGACTTTAGTCACATACGGAAATGTTTTGCTATGGAGCAAATGAATGGTAACAGTAATAACAGTAGTGAGCATCACTAACATTCATGGATTACTTTCCATTTGCCAGACACTGTGCCAAATGCTTCACACATATCATTTCATTTCATTCCTACAGCAACCCACTGAGGCAGGTACCACTAGGAAGCCTGGGGTGAGGGAAGGCATCAAGGGCTCATGCTTTGGGAATGGGCAGCCTGGGATGTCATTGCCAACGTTGTGATTTTTGGAGAGTGTGCTAACCTCGCTGTAAGATGATGTATGCAAAGTGCTTAGAAATGCACATTCTACTTTTTCAAAATATTTTAGCTGTTGTCATCATCAGCCCCCACTTTATAGATGGGGGCACTGAATTATCGAGAAATTAAGTTGGTTGCTCCAAGTCCCAGAGTTAGTGATACCTTAAGATTTAAACCCTGTCTGACCTCATCATCCTTGCTTGTAATCACGACACTACAATGAATACAAATTTATTCATCTTCTTTGCCCCAGGTCCTGTGGTGGACAGTCGGCAACCAATGATCTCATTCAATCTTCCAAATACTTCTGTGAAATGAATTTATCTCCTGGGCAGGAAGGGGCCTGTCGGGGCTGCCAGCTGGAGCAGTATTCGAGGAGGATGGCCCATCCTGGGTAAGAGGGGGCTGCCCCACAGACCCATCCATGGAGTATTGGGCCAGAAGGGAAGGCTGCTGCCCTGGTGGGAAGGACAGGTCTGGGGGTTACGTAGGAGGGCCGTTAAAGGAAAGCATTCATGAGAGGTCAGGGAAGTTTTCCTGGAATGGAAGTTCCACCTAAAACAGCTGCAAACTTGGTGAAAACAAGGGTGTTGTGTTTTTTTTGTCTGTTTTGTTCACTTTTATGCTAGAACTCACACAGTACCTGACATAGAGTACGTGCTTAATAAATATTTACTGAATACATGGAAGGTGAGCTCAAGTTATGCTCCAGGCAGAGAAAACAGTGCGTGCAAAGGCCCAGAGGTACAAGCGAGGGGGCCATTGGGGGAGCACATGGATCGAGCCTCTTCTCAGCCATGGCAAGCCGTGCTCTAATACAGCTGGGGCTCCCTCTGGGCGGGGCTGGATGTGAAGGCTCACGGGAGTCCAGTTGGCTAAGCAGGGTAGCAGTTCACCCCAGGGCCTGGGGTGGAAGCCCTTGGGAGCAATGAAGAGGACTGCCCTTGCATCCTCAAGCACAGGTGGGATGATGGCAGGAGGCAGGCAGACAGAGGAGAGCCCAGGAGGGTGGCACAGGAGCCAACCCCCAGCATCATAAATGCAACGCCAGAGAAAAGTTCAAGGAAATAGAGGAGGTGCTCACTGTAGAAGGTGACAGTGTCAAGTGAATGGGAAAGACGTGTTCTTCTTTAGGAGTGACACTGGTTAAGAGGAAATTCATCTCAGTAAGTGTTTCTTGATTGCTTACTGGAAAATGGTTACAGGTGGGAAGTTAGAGGCCTGATTTTGCAAAGCTCTCTGTACCCACCCCTCCCCCTCTGCTCTTATATCTCTTCTTTGATTTATAAGCTATGTCAGCTTAGATGCCAACTTCTCCAGGACACCTTCTAATCCTCAAGCCATTCCATCTCCCATCGCCCCACCTGCAGACCTCACACATCACAGGAAGCCCTTGTGCTTTATGCTGCAGAGAAAAATATCTGTTAAAATACCCATGTCCACTAGCACAGCGCCGAAGGCCTGAGGCACGTTTCGTTAAATGTGAGAGATCTGCAGCTCAATTGTCATCAATTGTAAAATTATTGGGTTAAATTAATATGCTGAATAATTTAGTCAAATGGTTCAAAATCCAAAAAATACACAAAGGCGTACAGTGAAGTCAGGCTCCCAACTTGGTCCCCTCTGTCATATGTATGCTCCTTGCCTCAAAAACTAAACCAAACTATATACCACTGTTATTAGTTTTTCATATGTTCTTCCAGAGACTTCTAGGTATATATCAAATACTATTTTTAAGATACAAATTATATCATTCCATATACACTGTCCTTCACTTTGCTTTTTTAAAAGCTTAACAACAGATCCTTAGAATCTTTCTATATTTGTACATCCAGCGCTTCCTTGTTTTATTTTAAAGTTGTATAACATCATATTTTACAGAGGCACTGCAATTTATTTAACCACTACTCTACTGGCGGGTGCTTAAGTATTTAAGTTGCTCCCAGTATTGTGTTAGTCCGTACTGTAGTGAATAATCTGATAGTTAGACAATAGTAAATGTGGTCCTAGAATTCATACTATAGAAATAATACCCCTTCACACACACACATACATACGCTCCTTATAATTTAGAAGGCATCTTTTTTAAAAATAACATTTTACTTTGAGATAGTCACAGATTCACACACAGTTGTAAGAAATAATTCAGAGATATCTGTGTATTCCTCAACCAGTTTCCCGTAACTGGTTACAAAACTATAGCATGATATCACAAGGAGGAAACTGACATTGATGCAATCCACTCACGTGGTTCAGATTTCACCAGTTTTACATGTGTGTATTGTGTGCATGCTCATGTATGCATTTAGTTCTGTGAAATTTTATCACCTGTGCAGTTTTGTGTATCCACCAGCAGAGTCAAGATACATAAGTCCCAGTACCACAAGGATCCCTTCCTCTGGCCTCTTATAGCCACACCCACCTTCTCCCCACTCACTGCCTCCTTCGCACCCTCACTCAGTCCCTAACCTCTGGCAACCTGGAAACTTTTGGCAATCTGTTCTAATTCTCTATGCTTTTGTCATTTCAAAATGCTACATAAATAGAATCATATGTCATATATGATACGTTTTGGGATTGACTTTTTAAAATCAGCATAATCCCTTTGAGATGCATCCAGGTTGTTGCATCTAGCAATAGTTTTTCTTTTCTTTTCTTTTCTTCTTCTCTTTTTCCTTTCTTTCTTTCTCTCTTTCTTTTTTTTTTTTTTTTTGCTGAGCAGCATTGAAAGGTGTGGATGGACTACAATTTGTTTAACCATTCGCTCATTGAAGGTATCTGGGTTGCTTATGATGATCCTATATAATAAAAGGCTATTATGCAAATCAACCAAATGGTGGAACGACCGGTCACTATGATGTGCACTGACCACCAGGGGGCAGATGCTCAACGCAGGAGCTGTCTCATGGTGGTCAGTGTCCTCCCACAGGGGGAGCGCTGCTCAGCCAGAAGCCAGGTTCACGCCTGGTAAGCACAGTGGCAATGGCAGGAGCCTCTTCCGCCTCCACAGCAGCACTTAGGCCTGCTCCCCAGGGGGAACCCGGCAGGTGGACATTCCCCAAGGACTCCTGGACTGTGAGAGGGCACAGGCCAGGCTGAGCCCCCCCCCCCCCCCGCCCCCGCCGAGTGCATGAATTTCATGCACCAGACCTCTAGTTGGCAAAGAAAAATAAAGCTGCTATGAACACTCCTGTACAGGTTTTTGTGTAAATTTAAGTGTCCATTTATCTGGAATAAATGCCAATGGTACAATTAATTGCTGGATTGTATGGTGTTTGCATGTTTTGTTTCATAAGAAACTGCTGAAGTTTTCCAGAATGGCTGTGCCATTTTTTATTTCTACCAGCAATGTCTGAATAATTCACAACTTGCCAACATTTGGTGGTGCCGCTATTTTTTTTTTAAATTTTATCCTGATAGGTATATGCATTTCTTTTTAAATTTCTCACCGTGATCTTCCAGTTTTAAGTCTTCTGACTGTAAAGCCATTTTTCAGTAATAATAACAGTTGCCCTTTAGCGAGCCCATACTCTACGCCAGACCCTGTGAGGGGTATTTTATATACATTGTCCTATTTAATCATTTCCTTTATCCCTCAGCACAAATGGGAGGCAGGATAATGCCCTATCCTCCTTTCCCTTTGGCAGTCACCATACTGTTGTCTGTGTCTATGAGGTTTTTTTTGGTGTTTTTTTGCTTAATCCCTTCACCTTTTTTCACCCACCAGAGCCCAAGGTGAGTGGCTGCAAATGAAATTTTGTGCATTGGCCCTTTAAGAGGGTACCTGTGTCTCTAGCAGACTCTCATCTCTCCCTGGCAGATAAAATCCCCCTGACTTTCACAGCCAGATGTTATGTGGGTGCCTCTTCCTGGCTTGGGGTTGAGACCCCACACTTCTCTGGGGGAACCTTTGCAGCTAAGATATCCCTCTGGAATCTCAGCCGCCACCAGTGGGAGTGGGCCCAGCCCTTCTCGCATCTCCGCCCCTCCTACCAGTCTCCACGTGGCTTCTTCCGTAACTCCTTGGTTATAAGGCTTCTCTCCAGCTCGTCTTCAGTTGGCTGTTCAGGTTGATTGGTCTATATATTCTAGGTGTAAGTCCAGGTTGGTCCAAGGAGGAGGTGAGTGGAACATCCACTCACTCCGCTGCTATCGTGTGTGCCCAGGACTCTGTTTCTTTACTTGGGCAATGGAGATGGCCCTTAAGGTCCCTTCTGCCTCAAACTTTCTGTGGAGGGGATGTAATTAAAGAAGGTATTACCCACTGATGAAGGCAACATATATTACATGT